TCAGAGGCTGAGGAAAAGAAAGTAAATAAACGAGGGAGGGAAAAAGGCAGAAAATATATCTGTGCTTTGATGTGGGTGGCATGAGAAGGAAGAAGGAACAGAAGAATTGCTTTCAAAGATTTTTCTGTTATTTCATATTTAAATGAGGTTTCTATCCCAGGAAAATCAGAAGGGCATAACTTCAGCAAATTTTTGCACAAGTATGACCAAGTTTAGTTCTCATCTGAAAGCCCAGATAACAGTCAGATTCGCAACGATATTATTACATTTTTTCCCTTAGATATACCTTACCTTGCCTATACCAAAGTTAGGTACCCACTCTCATGATGGAATCATCCAGGGAAGAAATTCTAGAAGACTATTTTCTTCACAACAGGCAGTACTGCAGCATATTATGAACACAAATGGATGGCAACTGCATGTGAGAAATAAAAGCTGACTGCAGTGCATGCTCAAATGCCTGTAAAAACAATTTAATCACCAACCCCTCCACTTCCTGCACATCCCATCACAAGTTTCTCTCACCTCAGATGTCAAATCCAACCTGGGGCCCTCAGGCATGAAGGGAAGTGACAGAGAGTGATGATGCTCAACAGATTCCTAAAACACCTGTGTGAGGTATCAGCACTATCAGGACAAATTAAACTATTTTATAGTACTGTAATAAACACTCAGTCTTTTTTTTCATCAATCTTAGACAGCATCCAGTGAAATACTGTATGTTGCCAGGAGGATAATTCCTTGGAAAAGAAGGAAGAATATAGTTCCCTTCTCCCAGCTCAGTAGGCTGGGTACCCTGAGGGCTGCTGGTCTTTCTGTTAAAGACTGTGGCATTAAGTACCTCTGCTTTTTCCTCACCACATGCTATAGATGGGCTTTTGGAGGCTGGCCACTGAACTAATTTTGAAATTAAAGGTTTTTTTGGTTTTTTTTTCATGAAACACTAAGTCTTTATGAAAGGCTTTGCCACAATAATTTTCAATGGCTATTGAGCCCAAACTGTCCACAAGAAAAGAGTTTGGGAAGGGAGCTTTAGCTGTGAAAGCTGGTTTTTTGGTTTTTTTTGGGTTCTTTTTCCTGAGAGCTACTTCTTGGTGTAGAAATGGTTTGTTAGCTGAGTCAGGAGAATTACAGAGTAAACTTGCCTCAATGAGTGAGAATTTCCTTCTTAGCTTAATTTCAGTGGCTCAGATAACTGCTCTTTCTTCCTTTCCCAGGAACGTTCAGCTTGCATCCCCCCAGAATATTCATGTGAAAGAACATTAAAATGTCAAAGACAACTAAAAAATGGGTCAAAATGGAAAGAAAGTGATCTTTGTGGTTAAGTCTCCTTCCAGAAACAAGAGTATCACATCTCCTAAACAGTCACACCTAAGCAAGGAGAGGGAAATGTCAGATTGTCAAAGAGCTCAAACTTCTGAAGATGTAGGTTCAAATAGCAAGTGAAAGTCAAATTGGATCTTTAGTTTCTTTTTTCTTCCCAAGGACAATTACAGTTTTTATTAGGTTTTAGCTTTCTTTAATCCATTGTTACTCTCCCAAATCAGCAGTTTCTTGCATAATTCTGCTGCCCCTCTAGTTATGCTGGCCAAACTAATGTTTTTCAGCAGCTGCTGCTTTTTTTGATTCTGCAGTTTGGTTTTCAAACAGTACCTAATTGAAAAATAATCTCTTGGCCTTCATTTCTATGAGTAGCTTCCCAGTAATAAACAGTGTAAGGTAAAAAAGCTGTACTTCAAGCAGTGTGGACCCAGGGTAACGTGAAATAGAATAATTGTGTCCTAAAGTTTGCAATGCAAGATGTTTTTCCTAACCTAAATTACTTGGAGTTCTACTGTACAGAGCTGTAATGGCAACATGACATTTTTCACTAGTGGTTTTTGGTTTTTTGGTGTCCAAGTTTCTCATTTTTATGGAGCTGTGACATTTGCCAGAAAGTAAAAGTCAAGCATTTCCTAGTGAAAAAATGGTGACAGTTCTCTGTTTTTGCAGAGACATACCTATTCCAGGTATGGAATACTTCACTGATACTCTATTCCAAAGAAAGAGAAATCCTGACTTAAGACATTTGTGTCACTGACACCCTATGGCTCATGCAAGATATTCTCAGGTAGAAGGAGAATCACAAGTATGTGATGGGAAAGCAAAGAAAATTTACACATGGGGACCATTTTTTGGTTACCCTGAGCTCAGAGTAAGTCTGATTTCAATTTTGTTAATAATAAAGTGGGACATTTTTTGATACTCATACAGTTGCAAATTCACTTGGTTGTTAACTAATGCCAATTCAAACAATTATAGGACGGATATTTAGCTTGTGAAATAATTCAACCTGTAATGGACTGACTTGTTTCCAAAGTTGGTGTGGACTGTTCCTCTTGCTTTTAGTGATCTACATTTTAGGAGACTGGTTTCTCTTCCTAATTTTTAATGTAAAAGGGCTTTTTACATTTTAAAATAGCCTCCTAGTAATGTTGGCTATTAATGTCTTAGCAGTTTTTTTGATGGATTGGGGTGGGGTTGTTTTGGTTTGCTGTTTGCATGTTTTTATGTATAGGAACCAGGAAAGGACTGATTTCAGCAGTGATGACTTTAAACCTGAAGTTCAGTGACCAGAATTTCATCCTGGACAAAATACTAATACTTGCTTTGCTCAATTTCTTTGAAAATCCAGTGTTAGAACTGAGCATACGTAGAGTTGCAGTGTTATAAGGTAACTCCAGTACCCTGTAGGAAAGAAGCCACCCTGGGCTACAGTTGGGGAAAGGGTCAAGAACAGGCCTAGCTACAGCTTTGCATAGACTGGAGAAGGCTGGAGAAGGACCTGCCTTCACAGGATATTGCTATGAGGAAAATTTGGGAAATTGCTACGTTGAAGAGCTGGAGGATGGTCAAGGCAGAGGAGGCTGCTGTTTACCTGCCATGATGAGAAAGGAAATATTACAGAACCACAGAACCATTTAGGTTGGAAGAGACCTCTGAGATTGAGCCAAACCTTTGACTGATCTCCACCTTGCAGACTAAACCACAGCACTGAGTACGACATCCAGTCATTTCTTGAACGCTTCCAGGGATGGTGACACCTCCACTTCCCTGGGCAGCCTGTTCCAATGTTTAACAACCCTTTCCACAAAGAAATTCCTCCTGATGTCCAGCCTAAACCTCCCCTGGCACAGCTTGAGGCCGTGCCCTCTTATCTTGTTGCTAGTTGCCTGGGAGAAGACTTTACAGGAGAGTGATTCCTTTTGAGAGGACAGACAGGTCTGCCTCAACTGGCCTGACTCAGCACATTTGGAACAAAACATGACCAAGTGCAGAAAGAGGCATTTGTAATGCTTGCTCCAGATCACAAAATAAACAGAGGGAATGTGCAGCTGGCCTGGTAGCAGCAACAGAGCCTAAGCCTTTGCTCTTCATTTGGCACAAAGAGTCGCAGTGCCTGCATAGGAATTAAACATTTTCTTTTCACCAGACCTCTTTGCCACATTCAGAAACACCAGTGATATGATACTGCAGGTGATCTGACAAGTGGACAGAACCTGTAAAGATTTTGCATTAAGAAAACAGCCAGTATGCTCCCAATCCATTACAAACTGATTCTTTTTGCTTTATATCACCTTGATTATTCCACCTCTAGTAATACAGAAAGCAGGATCCTGAGCTGAACAAATTCAAAGAGAAATGTCTTACTCAGGAATAAAAAACTGCAGATTAACCAAGATCTGTATCACAAACCAACTTAAAACATGTAAAGCAAAATCACCAAATGAAGAACTTTATGTCAGGTTCCTATTCCTAAGATTTTCACCATGCTGACAGTTTGTGATAGAAAAAGCCACAAATCTTGTTCTCAGAAATTCATTATGTAACATTTTACACAAAAATACAGGATGTTGTTATACAGCCAAGCATCTGGGGTGATTTGCCCTGATTTAAGAAATAAAATCTCTAGGAAAAGCAGCTATTTACTAGAACTAGGATGAAGGCAGAACAAATGACCGGATTTGTGCAATTCAATCATTCTGAATGTTAGGAAGCATTCTTTTACCGTAAAAAAATCAAACCGAAATGCTTACTTACCTTGATCCTAAGAGATGCTGAGTACAAAGCTACTCGTAATTTCCCACAAAAAAGCTCAGACCAGTATCTTTAGAGAGAGAGAGAGAGGACTAAAATTACCTGAAACATTCAGGAATGTTTTCACAGTACCAAAGAAAAGGAATTCAGGGAAGCCACACAGGAGTATGTCCTGAGAGATGTGTTGAACACTGAACAAAGGCGCAGTCAAACCCACATTGCAATGACAGCTGTGGGCAACAACAGACACGAGGCCAGGAGGAAGCCACAGCCAAACCAAGAGCAGAGTGAAAGCACCAGAGATAAAAGATGTATTTTGTTTTATCCATGCTGATCCATACATATTAACGTATGGGCTCTCTTCCTTGGATGCAAAGCTATCCTCCCACTACCTACAGTCACTTCAATGCTCCATCTCAACACACAGTTCAATAATTCTGCTAAAGCTTTTCCTGACAGTTTTCTTGCTCATTCTTCCAAGTTTGAAGCATCACCACTGCTTGCAGGAAGCCTGCTCCCTGCACTAAATAGAACTACTTAGCTGATTTATAGGGCATTTACTGTAACTGCTTTTGGGAACAAACACAGCAGTCTTTTTTCTATTTCCTTTCCTCGGCAAAGAATCAGAACTGTCAGAAGTATCCATTAGCACAGTATTTCTCCAAGAATTCTGTCATACTACTGTTATTACAGGAAAGACAAGAAAAGCAATCTCAGACAAGGACATATGACTTGGCAGACAAGTGAAAAAGAGATATCAGCCTAATATTCCAAGAAGAAACTTAGCTACTGCCAGCAAGCTGACAGCTACAGTTCATGTGCATCTGCTGTTTCTCTGGAACAGCATTTTGCAGAAGTGTGAAGTCAGACACTTGGCAATTCTAGCAAGTTAAGCATTAAAGAAAAAAACTCAGCACTCTGAATCCATATTAAAATAACTAAACAAGCTTTAATATGTTTTTTTCCAAGATCTAATATACAAATACAATGGTAATAATGTACTCTTCTTTTGTAAGCTTGGATGAAATATATTGAAGTCCACTTTCCGCATGTTATATAAATAATCATCTAAAGCAACCTAGAAAAGAAGAGAAAGGCTTAATACACATGGTGCACACAAGTAATTAGGCATCAAGTTTAAAAAGCAATGAGAGAAACTGAATGAGAAACTGTAAAAAAGGCTCAACAATTTGCCTTTGCTATTAAATGGTAGTGTAATCATCACATTCCAAACATATAAAAAAGTCAAGTTTTGTGAAGAGAAGCATTATCTTTTAGTACTTTAGTACTTATCTTTTAGACCAAACACTAAATTATGAAAATAGATAGGATTTGGGGCTTTTGCATTAGAACAACAGTCTAAAAGCAAAGACATCTTGGGTGGAATGATGTAGTTAAAAAAGAATGATGAGAAGTGTTGATCAAAACTGTAAGGTTCTACAGTCAGGTACACATTATGATTTCTATGAGTTTTAGATTTCTATGAGTTTACATCCTCCCAAAATAAGATAGGTGAAGTGGTAGTTCCCCATGCTTAATTTGAATGCTCTTCACAAATCAGCACAGTTATAAGTCCATCACTTAAAGAGTGCATATATCACACCCACCGTACAGAAAAAAGCAGGATACGCCTTCACAGGAACTTTCTTACTGAAAGATCTAGCCTAAAAGTAAATAGGGTAAGGTGGGAGGGAAAAACAAAACACAAAAAAAAGTACTTATCAGAAGAATTTAACATTTCTGATTAAACATCAAGTACTATATATCATGCTTAGAGGCAACACACTGTATTACCAGCGTTATCCCTTTTTATTTTGACATCCTGAAACTGCAACATTTCATTCCATGAAAGCTGTGTACAAAAGTAGTTAAACAAAAGTATGTAATACTGGCAGAGGCTTGCAAAAATACTTACATGATTTGACAGACCTCAAGACTACATACTATAAACCGAGGTAAATTAGCATGCCTTGTTCCAACAAAGTCCCAAGATGCATCTGGTTTAGTAAATACAGGTTAACTTTTTTTTTCCCCCAATAGACAGATATGATGGAAGAACAGAAATGCATTTTTCTGAGTGCATCTTTTTGGTTCAACGTTGCCATCAGTCCCACGAGTCCATCTGTAAATGCTTTGGTTATGTATCTCAGACATCAAAATTATCTCAGTTCCTCAGTATCCACATATAAAAATCTAAAGCATGGCTGTATCAAATCTGCAGTTTAAACTCATATTCAAGTCACTACATCTAACAGAGCTGAACAAGTCTCCCTGTAATGCCTGTCTATAAAAACAAAATCCCTTCTTGTTTTGCCTTTTCTTACAGGCTAAAACAAACTAACTGTCTATAAAAACTGATAGGAATGTGTGAGTTTGTAAAGTTTAGTTTTTCATGGACCTTTCCAGAAAACTGAGAAAATGAGCCTGAAACTTTAGGAGGAAAAAAATATCAATCTTTTCAGAAGACAAATTATTTTAAAATTTTCAGATATAATAACACCTGTATGTGTATATCTATTTCTAAAATAGAAAAATGTTCTTCCCTGATCTAATGCTCTGCCCTTCTATAATTAATTGCAAATGAAAAAATAAAGTAGTCTTGTTTGGCCTTCTCAACCCAGAAGGGGTCACATGTCATTCAGAAAGCATTTAATCTCCCTTGATAAACTGAGTCCCATAACAATGTAGGACAACTGAGACAAATGCAAAAAGCCAAAAGGGAGACCCTTTTTCACCAGAGGAATTGGGGAAGGAGTGCTGAAGAGAAAGAGGGAGAATGTTTAAATGTATTTGTAGACTTTCAAAAGGAACACTTTGGGGGACTGACAGAGCATTTCCTTATATGCTTTTATGCTGATAAAACACACAATTCCTAAGGAAAACTGCAATCTTCATTATCATATTTTGCCACCTGCTGGTCAGCAGCTGCAGTGTCAGGAAGACCTGACCATACTCCAGAAACCTTTTTCTCAAGATTAAGGGCCACACTACTACAGTATGCTTCATGTAACATGGCTGAGACTCCATTCAGCATTTCAGATTTAGGTGTCTTCTGGCTGTGAAACAGGGGTGGTAATTGCTACTCTCATCCTCTAAAATACGTGGTTTGAGTAATAAATGCTGAGATAGCTGAAACCTCTCTGCAGTTTGAACATTACCCTACCCTGTAATCCCAACTAAAACTAAGGATAAGTGGCTGTGAAGACCCTCAGGCAAAACAAAATGGTGATTTTATACAACAGAACAGATGCATTTAAAGGCACCAGCCCATTATATTTACCTAAGGTCCTGAAATACCCAGCAAATGCTGCTAGCAAAAGCCCATTTCATCCATTAGGCAGAAAGTATCCTTGTCGTTGCATTAACAGAGACCATCTGATTATGAAGGAGGCCAATACTCTGGCACTGCTGCCAGCTATGGCCAGTTCAAGTGGTTTGAACACTCTACAGTTCCTGCACTGTCCACAATTCACTGATGATGGGAGACTAGAAACAAGTATTCAGAGAGGAATTTTTTAAAAATTTTAATTAAGGTGATATAACCCACCCATTAAAAAACATACAAAGGGGAAATAAAATGGGAGGAGTGCCAGGATCAACATTCAGTTGAATAAAATGCTAATGCTGCCCTAATCTGGTTTCTTGGTATTTATACTTTTCTCCTTAGTCTCCAATGACATGATCACATTGCATACTTTCCACAGGACCCTCCCAGTGCATAACATGGGCAGGGCTCTAGGAATGAAGTGGGAAGAAAGGAGGCCAGTTCTCTTCAGAAGTTGGTAGGCTCATGTTGGGAACCAGGGGACCAATGCACTATGAATTATCAAATTACCTGAAAGGTTCTGAAGAACCAAATTCTTTTTCTGCTTCTATCCCAAAGTTTTCATACAACACCAGCAACCAAATTTAAATATGTGGACCATAAATACAAATTACTTATTTTTCATGCCGTCCATTCTTGATATGAGGCATTTCAGGCCATGCACTTGGCATTTTTCTTAGCCAAAAGGCAATGGGTTTTATACACTGTACATTATGGGTTGAAGGGTGGAGAATAAAAAAAAAATCAAAATATTTCAGCTTGAACAAAAATAATTAACAGTTTTGATGTTGTACTTTGTCTCTGTTCCCTACTTCTAAATGGAATAAACAGTTTTCTTGGGCATGTGACCACAAAAACTGAGACATCAGGTTAAACAACATGAACACGAATGCCTTAAATGTGAATTATAATTAGTGTATGAAAAATAAAGCCAAAGGGTACAAAGAATCATAGAATGGTTTGGGTTGGAAGGGATCATCTGGTTCCAATCCCAGCCATGGGCAGGGACACTTCCCACTAGACCAGGCTGCTCAAATCCCCATGTAACCTGCCCGTGGACACTTCCAGGGATGGGGCATCCACAGTTTCTCTGGGCAATCTGTAACATTGTCTCATCACCCCCACAGTAAAAATTTCTTCCTAACATCTAATCTAAACCTGCTGTCATTCAGATTAAAGCCATTTCCCCTTGTCCTTAATGCCCTTGTAAGAAGTCCCTCTCTGGCTTTCTTGTAGGCTCCCTTTAGGTACTGGAGGGCTCTTACAACATATACACATTATTAACATAAAACAAAAACATTTATCAGCTCACTGACTGAACAAACCAGGGATGCCGAATTTGACTTTCAGAAAAAAGATGAAGGGCTCCCCTATGTGGATTGCATAAGATACTGTGATCACAGGTAATGCTGTAATTGAGGATTGTATTAGTGGTGCAAATGCTGAGATAAATCTGGCATTTCTTTACTCTAAAGTGCTATCTTTTCAGACTACCTTGACTGGAACCAGTGGGTGCAATACTCAAAGTGTACATGTACTTGTAAGAAACTCTTTGTAGCACTTTGGTTTCCAGCTAGAGGAAGACAAAGCATTGCCAATAAAACTTGCCAATAAAACTTCTCCTGCTTTTGTACTGGGCACTAGGCAAACATCTCATAATGCAGCTAGAATAAAAGCATGAAAGAAAAAATAGAGTAGAACTCTGCAGTTCTTCAGGGCCCATCATCCACTGCTCCAACCAAACAGACTTTCCTAATTGCCTTGGCTGCATGCCAGGAAAGAAATAAACAGAAAGCACCTTTCTCAACATAGCTTTGGGCATGGCTGGTCATGTCAGGGAATGAATCCCCCCTCCCACACACATGAACCAGCAGTTAAAGACAACATGCTCTGTTTTCCTGGCAGCCATTCCATGGTGAAATCCATATGCAGATGTTCTTTCTATGGTGCTCATCCCATGCTGGCACATTGCTGCATTTATAAAAGTCTACTAAAGTTTCTCTTCCAGTAATAATTCTTTTAGGCAGCATTTATGTATATGAAATTGGACTTGGCTGTGAGTAAACTGTCTCCTGTACATAAAGATAATATTCATACAGAAGTAGTTGTAATATTTGAATCTTTAATGTGGTAGGATTTTTTTAGTGTAAACTCTCAAAATAAAAAAGGGCAAAGTATGTGAAGTATGCAGCTTTAGGTCTTCTAACAACAAATGCTTTGTGAAGACTAGCATCAGTTATGTTTATTTAGATAAATAAAAGAAAAGGAATCTCACATGTTCTAGATGAATATGGGCCTGGCTGGCGATGTCATAAATTACATCTCTTACATTTTTCTCTTGCTTGCCTCTTATGAAATCCTCTTGTGAAACTCCATGCTAGACATAGGAAGGAAAACCAAAATCAAGAAAGAGAAAAAACCCTCTAAAAATATCAAGTTTCCATTTTTGCTTCTCAAAAACCTGTCCCAGCAATGAAGCTAAGGACTTAAACTAAAACAGCCTAAGTGTTCCACCACTGCTCTCTCATTTTTAATTCTCCTTCTTTGATCAGTCATTTGGAACAAAATCAAGAAAATAAAGAGAACAGTTGGTACAGACTCTCTGCACAAGTTTGTTTCCTAAAATTTTGTGGTCAGTAAGATTACAAAGTCAGATTTCCAAGTTTGGGGGATTTAGATCAGTTTAGATACCCAATTTTTAAAACCATAATCCAAGAATCAATATTAAGCAGAAGACAGCCCGTAACAGTAACAGCTATCAAGAAGCCATGCTGGCTTTTGAATCTTGGGATTGGTGTGCACATCCCACGCTCACAAAAAACCAACAACCAACAAAACATGAAACAAAGCCATCTCCAAAAACCAACCAACCAACCCCAGAACCACCAGAAAAGAGCCAAAAAGCCAACTCCAAACTTATTCTTTGACTACAGTGACCAATATTAACACAGAATATGGCATATTCAGAATTGCACCAGCTGCCCACGCCTCTCAACCACACTGAGGCATGTGAGAGCTGTATGAAGGTGGGCAGAAAGGATTCACAGGAGGTACAGAGTCAGGAGAACTCCACAGTTCTTGCCAGCAGCTGAAAAGCTTACAAGATTGTCTGCACAGAAGGGATACAAGCTGTTTTTACAGCTTCACTGCAGAACACCTTCCATGGCAAGGAATGACTGAATTTTCAGGCTATGTTTGAAAAGCTGAAAACTTGGAAGGCCTCCCATAACACGCAGTCCCAGAAGGGCTGAAAGGAGAGTGCAATTCCTTTCTGTTGTCTTATAACCCTGACCTATATTAGTATCTTTAGTATCTGACCTATATTAGTACCTTAGAATCATTTCATCATTTTTTGCAGCTACCTACATTACTAGACTTCCAATTCAAATTTTTAACTGTATTGAAATTATATTCAGAAAATACTAACACAACCACCTTAGGCATCACCGTAATTGCATAAATTTTGGTTAAGTTGAAAAAGAACAGTATTAGCATCTAAAAATAAAGACTGGAAATGAAGGACTAACAGCTGAGATGCCTACAGATTAAACCAGGGAATATTAATGAAAAATTCCAAGCTTTAATCTCATTTTATCTAAACTGACAGATCTGCCAAATTCCAGTGTAAATCTAATGTACAGTTTAAATTGGAGGGCTATACCATCTCCTATAAATGTATGGAATATAGGCCTATAACTGTAAAATGTGGAACAGGAAAAAACCCACAAACCATCAGCACATTATGAAAAGGTAATAAAGAGAAGCACAAAGGTAATAAAGAGAATTACAAAGGTAATAAAGAGAAAGTAAAATTTCTCACAGTGCTTCCTTTATGGTGATAGGAAAAGAAAAAAAAACAGGAAAAAACCCAGATCCAACTCCAAAACACAAACCCCCAGGACCCGTTCTGTATATGCATTTTTATACATTATTGGAAAAATTCCTGAAACCTAAAATATTAATACATTTAATAATAACAGACAAACCCCTAAGGGAAATTTAGAGTTTCTTGAAGTTTCTTGAAGATCACTGCTCTCACTTCCCAAAAGATATAAAGCCATGAAAATTACCAGGCCAGAAGAATGAGTAAAAATAAAGAAAAAACATACCATTTCTTTCTGGCATAATAAATTATGATCTCATACCTAGCCTTGAGAAACAGAGATAGAAAAACTACACTGTTCAATTCCAGACTATTTGCTTCTCTTACCAACATACAAATGTCCATGGGAAGAAAGACCTTCTGTCTTGTACAGTGATAAGGAGTTGCTCTTAAACAGGTAACTATGCCTTGTGCTTTCCCAATGTGACTGGCTGCATGGTCAGCATGGATGTCCCTCACACCTAAAATTGCAGAAACAATATGTTTAGGAACATGCAGTCAGGCCTGTTGAGGGGTATGGTCTTCTCTGATGTGTATCACAGTCATACTTTAGGAAAGCTACATGCATTGGTCCATGATAGAACTGTTCATGTGAATAAACTGCTTTGAGATCTCAACTCAGAGGTGCAAAACAGCAGGAAAATTCATTCATTTCCACATTCAGGAGCAAGATGCCTCTTGTTGCAGTATCTGCAAAGGGTATACTTAGCAGAGCAGCACCTATTCAGATATATAACACTGGTACACAAACTCACTTTCATTGGCATATCCTCTCCCAGGATAACAGTATTCCAAGAACTGCTTTTCCTGCCAGAAAAAGTCATTCAAGTGTGAGATTTCTGACAAGCATTAATGCTTTCAGTGTGGTTTCATGATTAGCTGCAGCTGATTCATCAGTGTAGTGAAGTCAAGGAGAAATGATCCTATGCTTCACTTCCCAAACCCATTTCTCTGCCCCTTACCTTGTGCTGTCAGGAGCAATGAGGCAAACTGAATCAGATCAATAAAACCACAGAAAACTAATGTTAGTTACTGCACAGACACATAAACTGTGAGAACTGAAAGAGGAAGATGAGTGGGGCAGAGCAGCACCATTGCTCTTCATGGCAAGACCATACAAGCTTGGCTTAGACTGATCATAAAACTGAGCTAGGATAAAATGAAAATTTGAATTAAAATTTACAAAAACTCTTAACAGAAGCAGCATTCTACAAAGAAAGCAATGGGGATACAGCAATTACAGATCAATGAGCCCAACTGACATCTGGAAATAACACTGGGGGTACCAGATTCACTGCAGAAGCCTGTCTGGGTCTCAGAATCCTCTGTGAAAGACTGACTATACCCACACTACAGGGACTGATTTTAGCAATGGCAGCAGAAAGCAAAGTGTGGCTTGGAGGAAACAATGGATATTATTTACTAACTACTTAAGTAATTAGTTAGAGAGCACAAATATTAGTATTTTTAAATTACAGGAGCTGAGAGGAAGCACCAGGACTTCAGATGACAGGATTACCAGCCAAAATGAGCTTGACAAAAGAAACAATCTGAAATCAGCAAGAATATAACAGCACTAGTACTGGGAGAGCACACATTGGGAGAGATACAACAGGAGACTGGTCAGAAATAAGGAGTCTAAAGAGCACAAGAAATTTAGCAAACATGAGCTGAATGAAACCAGGTCCACCTAGTCTAGAAAACAGTGCTGATGGGCAACCAAGAAAGGGGCTATATTTGATTAGTTTCTCAATTTGTGGGGAAAAATAACAAAAGTTAACTGTTTAATATGCAGTGGAGGAGACTTTTGCTTAGATATTTTGTTACATTTGTTTATTTAAGAGAAGTTAAATATGACAACAGAAGACTTAAAATATCCAGACTCTCCATACAGATTTTCAAAAACAGTTTTATCTGATTTGTACAAGGAGTGAGTGATCCAAGCATGACTGAACTTATTCAGGATTTCTCAGAATGGAAGACACTGGCATTTCTCATGGTCCTACATTTCTTCAATAAAAGATTCAGAAAGATATTTGCAGCATTTCACTGACTTCCTACTGAGGAAGCAAACATCAGATGTTAAGAAATAAGTTCCTCAATTCTTTCAAAGAAGAATGTACTCACCATCTCTCTTTTTACTTCACCTTTTTCTATTTCTTTTTTAACTTTTAACATCAGTATTTGCCTTTCATCAGATTAGTCTGACAAGCAAGAGGAAAATATTGCCACTACAATACTAAACAATAAATAATAATAGTAACAATAATTATATTAACAATATTAATAATATTAATAATAATTTGGGAGTTTTTTCACCTTTTTTTTACATCCAAGCTCATATTGTGAATACTTCCATAATGCAAGAGATACCTAAATGAAAACTACCCTTTTCTTCACTACAAATGAATAGTTCTTTCCCAATCTGTGGTTCTTACATTAGACATGACACAGACAGTAGCTCTTATTCACAGGGACCATTTTGTTGCATTTTTTTTCTAGTTCTTCAATTATTGATAGTTAACCTACTTCTAGGAAGTGGAGAGGATTCAGACCCAAATTTAAAACATCACCAAAGGAAGTTTGTAGGTTGGGAAGTTGGCTGTTTCAAGACAATCAGTGTCCATCACTGCAATACAGAACAACAGCTGCAGGATACCTACAGCGCTTTGTATTCTGATAAGCAGGAATAATTGAAATACAGTGAAGAGCTGAATTTTCCAAATGCTGTAGGAGGAGCAAGAACAGAGAAAACCAAGCAATAAAGAACAGTAGGAAACTGCACTTCAATGAGCTCTGCACTGAGCAGCTTCCAAGGAAAGTAGCGTTCTAGGACAGCTGCAGTACAATTCCACATTTATAGTTCAGCATTCAAAAGATATCTGAAATTCTACCTAGGACAGCTTTTACTGAAATTAAACTCCAGTAGGAAAAGAAAAGGGTTTTTGAAATACCAGTAAATATTGTACTTGCACTAATGAGTCATCAGCAAAACCGAGAAAGGTGAAAACACCTACCCAGTGTTTCCAAGGTGAGGTACAAGAGAGCACTCTGAGTGTTCTCAGCGTATGTTTCCAGCTCCTGGATGTTACGGTACGGACGATCATCCAAATTCTTCTCCTGGAACATAAACACGGAGCTTCAGTAGAATGCAAACATAAATGCTGTTTGTACAGGCTTATTACTACGGCCATGGCAATCCAATGCACCACCAAAAACAAAAAAGGACACAATTGAGAGACTGAGAGAGAGTATAAAGTCAGATAGAAGCCCTCATTAAAGCTTATAGCAAACCTAACAAATAACTACGCTCAACTGCGGCCAAAGAGCAAATACAACTTTCTGCAATAATATGAAATCAGAATTCTCCATAAAAAAGGAAACAGCAAAACAAAAACATCATATGGTATTCTTACATTATAGGGTTGTCAGTATTCAATTTGCATCTGAAGCAGAGAGAAATTTAGATACACAGGAATGTATTTTTTAAAAACATAAAGTAAATCTATGAAATGCACAGAAGTGTTAAAGTCATGTAAAAACCCATAGATTCGTAGAATCATAGAGTGGTTTGGGTTGGAAGGGACTTTAAAGATCATCTAGCTCCAAGTTCTCTGCCATGGACATGGAAACCTTCTACCAGACCAGGTTGCTCAGAAGTCCACCCAACCCCTGAACACCTCATAAAGAGGCCACAACCTCTTTGGGCAACCTCTTCCAGTGTCTCACCATCCCCACAGTAAACAATTTCTTTCTCAGAACTAATCTAAACCTACCCTTCTTCATCTCAAGGCCACTCTCTCTTGTCCTATCACTACATTCCCTTGTCAAAAGTCCCTCTCCAGCTCTCGTAAGCCCCTTCCAGGTACTGGAAGGCGCTCTAAAGGTCTCCCCAGAGCCTTCTCTTCCCCAGAATCAACAGCCCCAAATCTCTCAGCCTGGACACAGGAGAAGTGTTCCAGTCCTCTGAACAACTTAGTGGTGCTTACAAATAATACATCCAAAATAATAAAATACACCCAAAACTGTAACATCCTCCAGCATTCCTCCTGTCCTAGCGGTTCCTATGCTTAAAATATACCACTCTAAAGACTAAAAAAGTCTTAACATTAAGAAAGCCTGAAGTCTTTCATAGCAATGACCCTCTGCAAGTAACTGACCATCAACTTGCTCAATTTATAGCTTCATGAGACACTTTAGCAGCAAAATTAGCTTAGGAGATTCCTGCACTCTGCTTTTCATTCTTGTCCTTGTGTCAGAGTTTGTAGCAACATCACTGTACCAGTGATGCTCTTAACCTTGTTTTTCCCAAGAAAAAAGGTGGCTATTTTAAACTTCATGTGATTTGAATGGTCCAGTTTTTACCACTGCTTAGAAAAAACTCCACAGCCCTGCTAAGGAGTAGCATGAAAGTGTGGCAGAAGGGTTCAGATAGGTCACTTAAATTTTGAGATTTTATATCCACATGAATTCACAAACTACATCAATTTAAGACAAAAAATAAACAAAGGATTCTATTAGCCATTTTTGAAGAAAGAACACAAACTATGAAGAGTAGGATCAAGGAATAATTTTTTAAAATGTAGCAGTATAACTTTTAAAGAGAAATACTACTGTCTGGAAAATTACATAAGCTTTTTTTTACATGCAAACCTATAAAAATAAGGAAAAGAAAACCCAAATATGACTAAATCCAGAATCAGTCTCTGAAGGGTAAATACTTACTCTTTCATCTATGATCTTCATGAACCACATTTTAGTCAAGTTATGCCTCTTGACAGCCTGAAAATTATAAAATAAAACCTCCTCGTTAATGTATACAAAGTGATGGTAGTACTGCTTCTGAAGACTGAAATACATTTCAGGTATTTAATACAAGACTTGTATTCACTGGGTTAAATCAAAGTGGCAAGTCAGTGGAAAATGAGAATCTTCTTCAAATACAAAAATTTTCAACTGGCATTTACAGCAAGTTGCTGCACACAGAAAATGAAATACCAGACATCATGCCAGCAAACTAAAAGCATTTCTTTAAAAATGTTTATGAAATTAATTTATTCTTGGAGTCATGTGTTCCCACAAAATATTTGCAGATAACTATATTCACTTTCCAAAAAGAACAGTTTCCTCCAGAGCCTAGCAATAAAAATATTTCCCCTGTAAATTCTCAAGAAAATGTCAGCACAACATACCAATACATGCTGTAAAGACAGAATGCTAACAAAGCAATACAATTAATATTATGGGTTTGTTTAAAGAAATATTGCACAGCATCTCATATTTACACATTCTTCTTTTGGTTCTTGTCTTATATTTCACTTCCTTCCTGTGCCACTTCATTCTATCAACTTACCTTCAATCCTCTTAATGCCACACTTTTAATTTTTCAGAACACATTTTCAGAAAGGCTACAATCACATGTGAAAACATCTATAAACAAAATTTAGGGAGCAGATTTCTCACTGTTTAGTCCTCATTGCTCACTTTCAACTTCTTTTTACATCTATCATATTAGTAAATATTTTTCAAGGTTTTACAAGACCAGATCTTCTAGATTCTATAAATTCTACTTGAGACAGTACTTGGTATACGAAAAGGAAAATTTTAAGTTATAACTACAAATATTGTTTTTTAGTCTCACTTGTTCACCTCACATATCATTTTGTAAATTAAATCCTTGGAATACTAACAGGTCAAGACTTAAAGGACCAAAATCAACTATGCTAAATTACCCAGTTTGTACATTACATCCATTACTTCATTCAAACACATGGGTCCTCATTTCTCAGAAGTTTGAAAAATTGGCTTCTTCCACAGAAATGAACAGAGAATTAAGTCTCACTTTTCATACATTCAAAACAGACAGAAAAGATCACGCATTGTACAGTTGCTGTGTAAGTTTATATTAAAGTCACCAAGATGTGAGCTATTAATAATTCTAGAAATACTATTAAAGGCTACTTGTCTACTTTACTAGTGTATAAAAATTTGGAACCTACGTGCAAGTATTATGGGATATATAAAACTTCAGGAACACACTTAAGCATCATTAACTTAAATTTATTCTGGAAAATCACATTGTCCTCATATAAACTCAACAGCAACAAAGGAATATACATAGAATATGCTGTACAAAGACACGTTAATTCTACTAACAGCTCTGCAATACTTGTGAGTTCAGGTGTCTTTCCAAATCCTTTTTTCTAAGAATTGCAATGACATTCTTGGGTATTTGTGAAGTCATGGGCTTCAAATAGGTCACTCTTGGGGTATTTGCTGAAATATGGAAATAAAATCCCATCTTGACTGCAAAAGTTACCAAGTCACATTAAACTGTTAGTTCACTCCAGTGCTCTGCAGTGCTTAGAGCTATCAGAGCTCCTAAAATTACTTTCTGAATTATTTTTCATCATCTTATTTTGCAAGCAGTTTTGTCTGGAATGTATTATATTGGTCTTCCTTTATTAGAATCATACCTGAGGTGAAATCTCACCAAAGACCATTCTTCTTCCACTTCAAAACCAATTTTCTGTTTTGTGAGAAGGGAGTACATCTGGCAGTCTTAGCTACTGGAGAGGGTTGCAATTGGTACCCCAGAATCAGAACAACTTCTATCTGAATACAGTACTGGTTTTGGCTGGGATAGAGTTAATTTTCTTCACAGCACTTTTATGGTGCTGTGTTCTGGATCTGTGCTGGAAACAGTGTTGTCGGTTGGAAGAGATGCCACACAGCACACACAAAACACTGACATTACTTCCCACAGTAATATTAAAGCAGATTTTAGGACAAGAAAGGTGTATTTTACCCTCCACAGCTCTGCAGCAACGGGCTGATGTGGTGGGTTATCGCTGTATATGTCCTCCACAGCGTCCCTCCAGAACTGCATCCGCATCAAACCTGTTGCCTTCTGAGTTATGGAGTCTTTAATCTGGAAAGGACACATCCGGAGTGAGATTCAGTGTCTTTAACACACTTGGTCTATCTATGCTGAAAAGACAGACACAGGACACAGTCAAACTCAGAAGAGAAAGAGCTCAGTTCTGAACTGACATTTATTCCTCATAAAGCTTCGGAACACTGCATAGAGTAAATGTAAAATCTTCACCACAACCTGATTTTGAAACCCACAGAGATTAAATGTTGGGTAACCCTCACTTTAGCTTTCTTCCTGGAAGGAACAAAAGCAATGGTGACAGCAGCGAGGGAGGGCACACCATGGGCTGCCAGAAGCACAACCTACAGAAGCTGGTGAGGGATTTTGCCTGGTCAGCTCATTTCCTGGATTGCTCCCTTCTGGCAAGCACTGCCAACCTTCCTGGTTGCACTGGCAGTTTCTGGCACCTTGCAAATCAGAGAGGCTGCAGCCACTCCTCTCCCACAACTCTCTAACTACAAACTTCCCTCCTGCAGCCTTTTCATCACCTTGCTTCTGCCAACAAAGGCTTGGTTCTGATTATGGCATCCCATTTTTTTAGCAACCTGTTACAGTTAGGATTTAGCTGCACTTTACCCATTAAGTGCACGTGTGAAGCCAGGATTTAGATGCAATCACATAACAGTATCAAGAACCACTGCCTGTTTGCTATAACTTGATTTTAAAATGCATAAAGAAAAGGTCATAAAAATTATACACATAAACAAAATAATAGGGCAGGCTGGGTAACTTCCATGGGCCATTCAAAACTGGAGGTTTGTACTGCACTATTTATTCATGGCCCTTGACTGTATGAAAGTTAACCTTGGCAAAACACCACTGACTACAGAAAGAGAGAGTACTTGCAAGCATAACTTAGAGTATCAAAATTCTTATTTTCAATTTCCAGAGTTCACAAATGTATTTTAATACCTGCCTGAGCCAGTTCCACATTGAAGGCTCTCAAGGCAAAAGCAGAGGTTCGAGATTCCACAGGCAGCAGCAGAGAACACAGAAACCCTTCATAGTCACGCTTCCTATAAAAGAATCAAAATGCACATTTGTTATTTATAGCTCTAAGTCAATTGGAGGTGCTATTCCTTAGCACTGAACTCCTGAAAGAGTCGCAGTAAGTTATAGCTCAAAACTCTGACTTTGCAAAAGTAGCAGCTTTTAGGCTTGTTTTAAAGTAAGACCAACTCCAAAAGAGAGTGCAGGCTGCTTGAACTCTCAGTGCACCTCTGAATTCCACATCTCAAGATATCTGGCTAAAGGCATGGAGCAAGGCTGTGGCAGAACTGCAAATAGAATCCAGATTGTCCGACTTGCAGAATTCTGTTCCAAACACGAAACCACATTTCTTTACAAGACTGTTCTTTGGAGCTTGGCAGAAGAGTGCTTGCTTAACCATTAAGTTTTTGTTTACTGGCAACTGTATTCAAAGCATAAAACCTCAGGGAGTTGGCAGTTTTGCTGCAGGTAGCTCCTTGCCAACCCAGAGTGATGTGCCTTCGTTTGGCCACGTGGGTGTGTGTGCCACAAAATTAAAAACACAGTGCTCAGAACCATGAACTACAAAATCACTCCAGCTAACAAAAACACCTGACCACCTCTGAAAAGCTAAACTGCTTGTTTTGAACAACATTTTTGTGTACCTTCTGATAAGCCTGAAACCTGATTCTTGCTTAGAACAAAATGAACTCCCAAGTTTGGCCTGAAGAGTGGAGAAGCAGGTTGTCAAGGAAAACACATGCACTCATTTTCAGTAAGTTTGCTGTTCTTGCATGTACTCATATTTCTTTTGAATATGGTCTTAAAATAGAAACCCAAACTAAACCCAAAGGTTATTAGGGTTGCTACTTTTAGCATCAAACAAAAAGGAAGTGAAGTTTAACAGAGATGCTTAACCCTACAATACACAGCAGCTGAAAACTAGCAAATGCTTTGTTTCCACAACTGTTGTCAGACTCTTTTAGACCTCAATGCAAATACAGAAATATCAACCCAAAAAAAATTACATTTTGGAGCTGTAGTAGGTTTTAAAGGACACCATATTACAGAACAGATACGTTAAATCTCCCTCAGTTAGGACACTTTTTGAAAAATATTATCAGCTCAAAGCCTAGTATTTTTTTCAAGACTTATTGTAGAAATACCAGTATTGTCCACCCCAGACAGAGATGCATGGTTTATAGCCACATTTTCCCAGTTCCAGTCTGTCTGTGTTGTTCACACAACACAGAACCACCTCTACTTTCAAAAAGGAAACAAAGAAATATGTTACACAAAGTACAGAGCAACACAATAGAGCAAATTGTCTTCCCTCTGGTAATGCTGTTGACATGGTGGGGTTTTGGTTGCTTTTTTCCAATTCTTCCAAGCTCAAAAATTTAGTGCATCAAATCCATTAAGCCTCAGTAAAATAAAATTGCTATTGCTGTAGATCACATTCCACCCCAACCTTCTTCATGTATGAGCATAAGAACTGTAGAAAGGAAGGAACGACCTTAAGTCAGGTATTGACTTTTTTGATAGATAAGTTGAGGTTTTTCAAATAAGCATAAGCTTATATATAAACCCACAGCCAGAAGAAAAATTAGTATTGGTCATAACTGGACTTTTCATATAATGAATGTGTAATAAAGGTATCGATCCACAAGCTTGTTTTTGAGACCAGGCATCCCTGACCGTAAGAGACATACAACATACCTATAAGGAAAACATTTTTTTAGTCAAATAGCTTGAAGTGAATTCAGTTGTTTAAAGAAAAAGGAAGACCAAAGAGAAAGAGCATCTTCCATATTCCAAAAACAAATATACATTATAGAAGCACAACTCAGTTGTACTTCCTAATGTGTTGGAGACTCAAATTCCGAACTAGGGAGTTGCTGACACTTCCATAGCCCCAAGTGTTTTATTACTGTTTGAATAATTCCTTCCACTTATTTTTTATGGTTATTATTTCCATGCAATAGTTGAACTACTGGGAACAGCAGCTTCAATTAAATAATGCCAAAAGCATAACCACTTTTCATTTTACTATTTTGAATGCTTGTGTATTTTTCTAATTAGTCCTTTTATCATTTAACAAAAATACATATAAAAAAGTTTTAATTCAACCATCTCATTGGAACCTAACTATTCTGTTCACAATTGCTTGTTACTGGAAACATTTCACCTGCAGATGTTAACTTTACCTGTGTATTGTCTGTACACACAGCCTCTGGTCTCCTGAGTATCAGGGAAATGAATCCTGGGTAGAATAACTAGGAAAAGAAAGCTTATTCTGAAAATCATGAAAAATGCAATGTGGCTGTGCATTCTGGTGCATCTGTATGGGTCAGCTTCTTGCTGCTGCACTGAACATTTAAGATTGTCCCATTTCTTTCCCTCAGTTTTCCTACCTCAAACATTACTGCAGACCACACACATCTTTCTGTCTTTTTACAAGCACCAGTTTGGAGAAGATAATCCTGTTCCACTCTGTCTATGCACACATGGAAACCTTCTCCCAGCTTTTGTCAATCATCTGGAAAAACAGTATCCAAAGAGAAGTTACCTAGGTCTTTACTGAGAAACTTGTTTAACATCTTACTTTACAATGAACTGAATTCCTGGGAACTCCAAAGCAGCCAAGGGGCCCTACACATTGTTTGCAGCCCAGAATCCAAGAAGGAAAAGTGACCTCACCTGGAAGTGTCTGACTGCACTCTGCTCCTCTTGGAGCATTTTGGGTTTGACAAAAGAAAAAAAGGATGTTTTGGAAACATAGGCCTCCTCTTGCGTTTACGACAGAGAAGGTACTGAGCTGCTCCAGCTGTCAGATGTCCTCTGCTTTATCCCATTTTTTTCAGGGAGCGCTCAGCAAGCATGGCTAGTTCTCAGTAGCCAACATTTGAAAACAACCAATGTTTTTAAACATCCACTTCGGTGATTTGGCTCTCCAAAACACCGATACAAGGGAACAAGAACGTTCCGTTCTTCCGAAGGAACGCAGCCACAGAGGGGGAGGGCACTGCCGTGGGAGGCTGCCCAGCACGGTGGCGGAGCGTCCCTGTTTGGACACATTCAACACCCACCTGGACACGCTCCTGTGTAACCTGCTCTAGGTGACCCTGCATGGGCGGGGGTTGGACTGGATATCTCCAAAGGTCCCTTCCAACACAGACGAATCAGTGATTCTGTGTGCAGGCTGAATCATCCACGCGGCCTAAATATGCGCCGGGTTTCAATGTTCCCGACACGGCGCGGTCCCGCCGGCCCACCGCGGCCGGCCACACGGGCTGTTTTCGGGGTCCGGAGAGCCCGAGGGCGGCCTGGGCAATCCCAGCCATCCTTTCCGGGAAGTCGTCAGCGTTCCCGTCGGCTGGGAAGCGCGGCCGAGCCTTCCCAGGCCGGGCTCGCCGCCCAGCTCTGCGGAGCGCGCACCCCCGCGCCTGCAGCCCCCCGCGGCGGGCACTCACCGCACCAGCTCGGCACAGTACTGCACCGCTCCTCCGGCCGCCGGCCCGCTCCAGCCCGCCGCCGCCGCCCTCCCGCCGAGCGCCGGCGGCCGCGCCAAGCGGCGGCCGATCCCACCACGCCGCAGCGCTGCCCGCGCCATGCTGCCCGCCATGGCCCCGTCGCGCCGCCCCGCCCCGCGCGGCGCCGCACACGGCCGCCGGCAGGGAGCGCACGGGGGCCGGCAGGGAGCGCACGGGGGCCGGCAGGGGGCGCCCGCGGCCGGGGCGCTGTGGGGGCGCGCGGCGCTGTGTGCGCTGCGAATGGCGGCTGGCGCAGGCCGGCAGTGCCTCAGCGTCCAGTGCCTCCCGAGGCGAATCCCTCCGCTCCTCCCGCACAGTGGCTGGAAAAGGCCCAGCAGAAAAGGAGCTCGGGGTGTTGGTTGGCAGCTGGCTGAACATGAGCCAGCGTGTGTCCGGGTGGCCAGGAAGGCCAATGGCGTCCTGGCATGCATCAGCGGTGGTGTGGCCAGCAGGACCAGGGCAGTGAGAGTACTGGGCACTGGTGAGGTCGCACCTCAAGTGCTGTGTCCAGTTCTGGGCCTCTCACTACAAGAAGGACATTGAGGGGCTGGAGCATGTCCAGAGAAGGGCAAGAGGGCTGGGGAAGGGTCTGGAGCACAAGTCTGATGAGGAGCAGCTGAGGGAACTGAAGGCGTTTAGCCTGGAGAAAAAGCTCAGGGAGGACCTTAATGCTCTGTGCAAGTGCCTGAGAGGAGGTTGTAGCCAGGTGGGGCTGGCCTCCCGGGTGACAAGTGACACAACAAGAGGAAATTGGCATAAGCTGTGAGAGAGGATGTTTAGGTTTCACGTTAGGAAAAATTTCTTCACAGAAAGAGTGATTAGATATTGAAATGGGATGCCCAGAGAAGTGGTGGAGTCACTGTCCATGGAGATATTTAAGGAAAGACTGGACATGGCATTTAGTGCCTTGATCTAGTTGACGTGGTGTTTGGTCAGATTGGGCTCGATGATCTCAGAGGTCTTTTCCAACCTAATTTATTCTGTGATTAAGTTTTTAAACCGGGTGCCCAAAAAAGTCAAGGAAGCTGAATTGTAAAAGCCTCCCTGTTTTGGTCAGTGTGGCATAAGAGCAGCTGTGGGACTGTGAAAAAGCCACAGGTGTGCTGTGTGAGGCGGAAAGGCAGAGCAGTTCTGCCCAGGCAACAAAGCTAGCCCCAGGGCTCCATCCTTGGTAAAATGTGTTCAAGCTTTGCAGCAGAAGCCTTATTTCCTCCTCTTAGCTGGCAGAGGAGTTCCTCACCATACAGGCTGGCTGGATTTTAACTGGAGACAGAATGGCTCTGTTAGCCATGTAGTCATGGACAGAACAGCTTCCTCAAAGTTTGGCCTGTATGAGGATAAGACAGCAGAGTCATCAGAAATGGCACTATGCTTAAAAGCAGTTTCATCTTAAAACTACATCTACTAATAGTTACCTATTAGTAACTACCTCAATCTAGCTTTGCAAGAAGAGGCACAAGAGCAGTCTGGCTCTTCTTTCTCTCCCCAGCCATGCCATCCTCTTCCTTGGTGCCGACTTTGATCTTCATTTTATGGCACAGGGAATTAAACCAGTAAAGACACATCCACTGCTCACTTTCATTCTTCATAAGTTCCTTTTCTGCCAGTTTGGTGCCTTCAGTTAGTTCACTGCGTAGTCAGCTGGGCTGTGGGCTGTGGGCTGAGGAGACGGCGGGCTCTCCTGGGCTGTGGGCAGCAATGCATGTGTTCATTAGCTCAGCTGCAAAGTGAAACCATGCAGCAAATACAGGGAGAGTTTTGAGTGGGCAGTGATGTTCAAGGGACAAGGCAACTATTTGGAAATCAGAGCAAGCCTTTATTCTGTGTCACAGAGACAAGGAAGAGGTTAGGGATCACACTTTAACATTATTTATTTTATTGATTAATGGCCCTTGTGGGCTTACTCTGAGCCTTTCTTCTTCCCTTTTTCTCATGTCTAAAGTTCTCTCTGTCTTGAAACTCTGAACCTTGTTTTAAACCCTTGCTATGCCTTGAGCAGGATTTATTGTTTGTTAGGGCACCCAAAGAAGGTCATTTAGCTTTGGGTGGAGGCTGAAACTGCTGTTGTTTAAGTTTTCAGGGAGAACCCCTAGATAAACGAATCCAGCTCTTTCAGCTGCTGCCAATTCCTGGCAGAAGGGTTACATAAACATACTCTAAACCTCAGGGGTATTATAAATAAATCTTATAAAATACTAACTTTTTTTAAGTCTCTGAACAAAAAGGGTGCTAAACTGATTTAAACTCATAGTAAGAAAGGAATAAACCAGTTGTTTATATAAAATATTAATCCTGACCTTGTTCTCAGTAATTTGTTTCTTACTGTTCTGTACCTTTACTGTTCTTATTAAAGTACTTCTTTTTTCTTTAAGCAAATATTTTAAGTGTCATGTGTAATTATTGAAAATCTTCCTCAAGACTGTCTAGATTCTAGTAAGTTAGCTTTTTGTGCCACCAACTCAGTGGGAGTAAGGATTTGGCTTAATGTTTTAGCAAGTTTTTAACACTGTAGATGAAAATTGAAGCTTTGTAAGAGTCATCTCCAAACTTATTTTTCATTATCTAACTATGTTAAGAAGCACATTCCATCACCTTTTTCAGTATTTCTCAGAAGCTGAAAGATGACCACCTCTCTGATGTGTTCTTACTAAATATTTTGTCCCACTGACTCCTCAGACAAAACTGAAATCATTGGGCAGCAGTGCCAGCAATGGCAATGGCTGGTTTGGGCAGAGATAGTTCAGTTATTACTCTAACCTGGCATTTCTGGGAAAAAAACCCCAAGTTCTGTGTCAAGGAAATACTGATCAGTTATAACTCACCCTTATTATAAGAAGATCCAGATTCGATTTGTCAACAGAGAAATGGAAAAGGGCCCCTCAGCTGTCCCATTGGCCAGACAGAGGCTGAAGTTTAGAGAGCCTACATATGCTCAAGTAGACACAAAAGTCTCCATGCTGAGGAGAACAGAGCAGGGAGGAAAGAGATCTCCCCCAGAATATCCAGGGACTGGAGGCTGGGGAGTTAACTGGGATGTGAGGGACAGTCACTGGGATCCCTCATCTCTAGCAACAAGAGCAGAAAGTGATCTGACAATTCTCTACACTCACATGACCAAGGATATATTCTCCCTCTCTCTCATTTTCTGAATACTCCTGGCTTAATTCCAATATCAGAGTCAAGGAAAAAATCCATGTGTGCTAACGATAGTGTTTCCTGTCAAGTTCCATGCCACAGTGAACAGGCACATGCAGTTATTGTTACCTGAACTACTAAAAGTATTCAACCAAAAATCTTTGTTTAAGGAGAACACTAACAAAATTAGTTTAATGGCAGTCATTTAAGTCCTGGACAAAGAATAATACATTAATGTGTGTGCTAATAAATACTGGGCCACTTTAAAACATTTTCCCCATTTTTCATGCTTTAAACATCTCAGTCTTTAATTATGAAGTAGATGAAAAGCTATCCCAAAGGACATTGCAGTGAAAGGGTTTCATCTTCGTTTGCTGCTGCATTTTTAATTTTTGGTATGTTTCTCTGTAGATGAATTGCTGGTAAACCTTTGTTTATTTATTGTTATTGTTGTTCTCTTTCACTTCCCAGTTTCAGGCACAAATGGGGTTGTACAAGGTGGCATGCTAAAAGCAGTGGGAGGCAAAGGTCTCAGTGTCTTACGGAGAGTGAGAACCACTGCACGCTTCCTTGGCTTTGTGCTGCAGGACTGGGCTGGAGTGATGTCCTGCAGAGGGGAAGGAAACAGCAATTTTTCCTTGTCCACTGGCACCTTTGCCAACCATGAGCATGTGCCACTGCACTCAATGGGAATGACTGCTCATCTGATATTCCCAAGCCTCCTGGGCTTTTACCTGGGATTCAGGTACACTCCCATGAAACAGATGGATCGATCAATACACTTTACATACACCATCAAGTAAAAGCCAGATGTTACTGACTTCCAAATACTTCAGCTTCCAACTGCATGCACACTTGTGAGTGAAACAGTGTCTTCTTATGCAACCTTTTGATACCTATCTTTTGTTAGGTGTCCTGGTTCAGAGCAAATTTGGGAGAGAATCCCCAAAGGGGCTCCTCTATTAAAGCAGATTCAATCGGCCCCTCCCCACAACCGGTACGGGAGAAAAAATTCTTCTCTCCCCCCTTCACTCTCTGGAACAAATCTTAAAGGTGAAAAACTTATTATTCAGCATAAACAGAACAAGACAATTGGGGATAAAAGCATCATATAGTCAACCCAGGACATTAGGTTGGTCTCATCTCTTTTCAGACAGCAGATTAAAATAGGACTTCTACAGAAAGTAGTTCAGAATAAGGAATAGCTTCAGCTAATCAACTTCATTCCTCTCCTTGCTGTAGGTTACTGACTGTTTCTAATCAGGAACCTCTCTATAGCTGTGCCACATTCTTTGAACACACAAACACACAAATGCAGAACTTGAGGCCAAGTTTTCAAGTCTTTAGTGCATCTTAACTGTCCAACATCGACTTTGGG